GAAGACCAAAGGTTCGATTCCCCACATGTATTACAATGTGTGAAGCCTATTTCTGGTGATTCCCCACATGGGCAATGTGTGATATTGCTGGGATATTGCTGGAATATTGCTAAAGGCGGCGTAAAACTAAACTCAGTCAGTCAGTCAGTCTAGGTCACATTACACAGCACTAATTAAACTCATATGTTTTCTAAGAATTTTTCAATTTGGCTGAGATACATTCATGTGCAAGTAAGTGAGTATGGTTTTACGCCACTAGTAGCAATATTCCAGCAATATCACGGTGAGGCACACGAGAAATGGGCTTCACACATTGTACCCATGTGAGGAATCGAACAGGTCTTCGTTGTGACGAGCAAAAGCTTTAACCACTAAGCTACCCCACCCCCCTTCATGTGCTAGTAATAAATGATCACGAGACGGTGATGTGTGATCATGTTTGGGTGATATATGATCATGTGTGATCAGGGTTCTGGAAGTCCCTGCAGATTTCACAGCTGACAACAAAAAGACAACACATACCTCTGTTTCATCACAATTTATTGACTGAAAATAATTTTCAGAACTTTCTCTTTGGATGTAACATACTGTCCAGCACAGAAATAGGATATGACTACCAACTTGTCCTCTCTGAAGTTTCTTTCCTAATGAATAAATAAAACACACCTTGACAGATTCAGGATACATGATACAAGGGTATCACTTCAAGGTGTGTCCAGGGTGCATATTAATAACAGGCCACTTAACAATAGGAGCATGTTGACTATCCCAAATGTTACAACTTAGTGGCTACAACAGTTGCATTTTGTCAAAATGCAGCCTGTCACACAGCTCTTATTATTATTTATATATATTTATATAGCGCTAGTATCCAGATCACCTGCTCAAAGGTGCTTCGTTTTTCCCTGTATCAAGCGAGACAATGACATCTACTGTAGGGCTAGGACGGGCCCAATTTTTCTACCCGGGTACCCCACCCCCTATTACCCTACCCGGATACCCGTTATGTTATTTCCTGACATCAAATTTGTAAGAAATGGAAATATGTTCTTCAGCTCGGAGGCTAAAATGTTGATTTTTTCAATATCTTAACCTTGTATTATATTCAAAAGAGGTGACTGTAATTATGTCTAAATCTTCAAAGACAATACAACCTTTTAATATGAAAGAATAACATATTACATTGTTTAATCTACTAGTCAGATGATCATTACGGGTCCGGGTATTGAGACGGGTACCGGGTCCAACTCATTACCCACCCGTCCCAGGTATCCGGTTCACCCGTCCCAGCCCTATCTGGCAGTAGGGACACGTGTAGTTTATAATTGTGGGAGTATTGTCTGTATTCCGACATTAAACACTGTAAGGTGCTTTGACATGCTCCCCGCAATATAATAATACCAGCAGAGGACTCTTCCGGGTACATCAAAATTGAGCTCCTTGCATCCTGCTTGTGACACATGTAAGATCATCAATCACTAACAAGGAAGAGTATTTCAAACAAAATCCTTGAGTGAGCTGGGGTTTGAGCCACTTTGCTTAGTATTCCAGTTATTTCACAGCGTGTGAGCTTGATATGAGAGGAAAGTGTCACAGTGTGTTTGCCTGATCTAGGAAGAAAGTGCAGGTCTTACGTTATGGTGTGGTGTGCACAAACCTAGTCAAACCGAAACCGACCGAACCAAAGGGTTTGTACTGCAATACGTACCTTACCGTGTTAAGAGCGTACCGTTTCACCTCTAAAACCCAGATATATATTTGGGACCATGTGTATTCAAACCCATATCTATATCTTCCTGGCATGCCTAATGGAAGCAACCCTACACAGAGAACAGCAGCACCTTGGACATATTGGCCCCCATGCCCGCCAATTTTTAAAGACATGTCGTGAAATTAAACCTGGATATGCAACATGTGTAATTCTGTGCAGCCTTGCCCTATCAAGAAAGGGAATGACTTCAATACAATGGACAGTTCATAACATCCCAAAGAAAAAGTTTTGAACACTTGAAAGGCAATTAATTCACATTCAGGGCAAAGTCGAAATGGAAGAATCCAAATATGAATAAGAAAATATTGCACTGTAACCATGATACCATTCTCATAAAATACAAACAACAATGATGCCAGAAAATAGCAATGCATAAGTCTGAAATTTTGGTTGCCGTACATTACATTTTGATGTTAAACTTTACTTGATTTATCATCACAAATATCTCTATGTCTATTTCATAATCAATGACATACTTTTAAACACATCTGCAGAAACAACAGTTCATCATTTAATTGGACTGACCACCTTATCTTCAAGGGGAATGGGAGTGAGAAACTGGTGAAAAATAAGTGTTCTATATTTTGATAAAACCAACAGATGAAAACACATCTTGTGTTAGGAATAAAAACAATTTTTTTTGTCTCTTCTGACAATTAATGTACAAAGAACAGAGTCCTCTGCACCATATCGCTGAGTGAGTGAGTGAGTATGGTTTTACTCCACTTTTAAAAACAGTCCAGCATTGTCACAGCAGGGGACACCAGACATGTACCCACACTTGCACCCATGTGGGGAATCAAACCCGGGTCTTCAGTATGACCAGCGAGGCTTTAACCACTACTCTACCTCCCCTCCCCCCATATTCCGGAACATGTAATGGTCAATCCCTTGTTTATCAATGTAATGTGGTGGTGGGGTAGGCTAGTGGTTAAAGCGTTCACGTGTCATGATGAAGACCTGGGTTCGATTCCTCACAAGGGTACAATGTGTGAAGCCCATTTCTGGTCGCCCCCTCTGTGATATTGCTGGAATGTTGCTAAAAGCGGTGTGAAACTAAACTCACTCACTCATTCATTATCGATGTAATTCTCATCACTTACATCATCAGTTGTCATGATTATCATTAATTAACTATTTTATAAAGATATATCAGTGCCAACAGAGTATACGTCTATACCATAAATATAGTTCCCGGTCAAGTTTCTTTTGTGCCAATCTAAAACTGCTGACACAGCATGGATGACATAATAGTCTTGATGAAAATAGTTCTGATATCGTTGAATAATCATTTTTTTAACCATGGATTCTATTTTTGGAAAACATTTTCAAAATGGCCATCAAGATTCTAAACACACTTACAAACACTCAAGAAATACACAAAGCGAACATTTCAACAACCTACAGCTAATAACATTTTAAGAGTTCAAAGAAAATTCAAAAAGAACATTTATATCAGTCAAATTGTTTAACTGTACAACAGCATTTCAACAATGATCAAACACAAGCAAAACAAACCAACACTGGACCTGGTCATGCTTTCAACATCTCTAAAATAAGACCATATGTAAGTTGTCGATTAAAATTTTGGAGCATATTCAGAATTCACAACCAAAACTTTTCATAACAACATTCTTTGCAACAGGTCACTTGAAACAAATGACAAGTTACCAGACTTAAAGAGAATATGTGTGACTCACTTATTCTGTGCTGTGGGGTGTAGAGATGACACACATTGTACCCATGTGGGGAATCAAACAGGTCTTCGGTGTGACGAGCAAACGCCTTAACCACTAGGCTACCCCACCACCCACAAGAACTCACACTTCACTGCATCTAGTCTGATGTTACATGGCAATGTTTTGTCAGTACTGTATTCAAAAGAAATCACAAATTACATTCTAGGGTATTGTCATGTGTTTGTTAAGTTTGTAGTGCTGAATTTTAAAGGAAGGCTGAAAATTAGTTTACAATGCTGCAAGCAGAACTGGTTATTCTAGAGAAGAATAGTTTAGCAAATTATTGTTAGGGATATGTTAACTGTTCAATGATACTCCAAATTGATTAATTAGTAAGTTATTTGGCAAGTTAGCTTCCATTTCTCACTATTCCAATCTCCCTGTACACCATTGTCAGGGTTTAATACTGCAGGCAGAGGAGAATAAATAGTCTCAATATAGAGCATATAACCAGTATAGCATCAGTTACATATAGACAGTTGCCTAGTCTACCAGTACACACAGACAGTTGCCAGTCTACTGGTTCCAGCATTAGCTGCATACAGACAGTTGCCTAGTCTACTTTACAGAAAAGAGGCAGCTGCCAATGAAACCATCCTAAAGTTTTGACTGGTTCTAATCCTGTACACAGTTAGGTTGAGCTATCTGTCAATGATCACTGTCACTGAAATAACAACTATTCTGAATACTGTACGGCCGAAATTGTCTGTGACAGCTGATAGATCAAAATGTTGACCTTTAGAAATATTTTCAATATTTTACACCATTTTGGTTGCATTGTAACCAATCAGACAACTGTTTTCCCTTTGTAACATATGTTATATTTGGGATTACAGTTCCTTAGTGAAGTACAGACTCAAGTACTTTTCTTAGGTTGAGTCCCATTTGGGATTCAAACTCACACCATCAGAGTCAGGCACCTAAAGTCAGCCGTCTAATCCACTCAGCCACCAGAGTGGCTAGAGAACATCAACACAGAACCAGTTAGACAGTGAACAGCATACTGTACAGGACAAAACTAGTGGTGTAAAGATACAGCAATACAGTATTGTATCACGATACAAGGAGCAGGATACAATACATAGATACACAACTCCAGTATTGAAATAATTACAATATGTTTCTCAATCACAATGTCCCATATCTTTGCTGTCTGAGATTTAACGACATATGATTCAGGGTTTTGATTTACCTGCAGCCTGAGAGACAATACAAACTTTTAAATCGCATGTATTGTATCAGGATACGAATTGTATCCCACTGTATTGTATATCAGGGGTGGAAATACCTTTAAAATTACTAGTGTACTCCGGTACAGTGGCACATGTAAAATCACTTGCCCTGATAATTTTTCCACTATACCGGCTGTTTTCTTGTTGATTTTTTAAATAAACAACATAATTAATATTGGAAAGTCAACTGGTACAGTGTGATATACAAATTTGCTTGCCCGACAGAAAAAAACACTGGACTCGGGCGTCGGGCAATGGGTTATTTCCACCCCTGTATATCAATGTATCGTTACACCTCCAGACAAAACACAATCAACAGATCATGGAATGCATTCAGTGGAACACATCTTGGTCCTGACGTCTGGAATCATGTAAAACTGCAACTCCTATTTGGCACCATGAAAGGACCAGTAGGAAAGTGAAAATACAGCAACTAGGTTTCGAGATCTTCTAACTAAATTGTGCAAGGCCCTCAAAGACTGTATGTATTACCAAGAACTTCTAACAGCAAATGCTGAGTGAATCCTAACATAGATGTTGGTGCAGTAGAGCTTTTGAGTTAACATGTACATCACTCAATTATATACCTTCAAAGGAGAATCTTAATTAATTTCAGGGATAACTATGACAATTTTAGCAGATTTCTATTGTGAAAATTCTCAACTGTAACAAGCCTGAGATTTTGTCACCAGGAGAAATCTGTAAACCTCCGAACACCTCCCTCCCAAAACTCAGAGTTAAAATATTGATCCAACATGGAACTTTAAGTGCTTGCTCAGACTTCAACTGTAAAACAAACTGTAGTTTCTCATTTGATGGAAAGTGAGCTAGCAAGTTCAGAATTTGCACTTAAGGCATAGAAACAGATGAAACATTTTTTACTGATGTTTGATTAACAAGCAACCTATGTTTGATATATTTGGTGTATGTCATACATAGTCTTAACATAACTGGAGGAACATGCATAATCAGATTCATATTGATGTATAAACTTGATCAGATAAAACCTCTCACTGTAACTAAAACCAGTGGTTTGGTTTGTACAGATACGTCAAATCATCGTGGTTTGAGATGTTACTTAGCTACACTGCAACTATACAAATCATGCACTGCTCAAGCTTTAGCCAGAATGTGTTTTTCAATTTGAAAACACAAAACACAACTTAATCTCTTGGTCCAAAGATCTTTTTTCAAATGACAACATACATGCTGAAATGACTCATGGTAACTCATTTGTAATGCATACACAACTGAATAAATCAGATCTTTAACTCTGATTGGATGGCTCCCTCGAGTTGTCACAAATTCTCCATGGGTCAAATCAGGTTGACATTGTAACTCATCAAGCAGCATGGAGGTTTCTTATAGAGACTTCTGTATCCCTTAATACAACATAAACATTCAGTTCTGAATGAACAATAAAACAGACTGGCATGTTGTGTGCTTTTCACATTCTGTCGATTTGATAATTTCCCACAGAAAATGATGTCAAAATTCCATTCAGCTCTGTTTCCTTCTCAAAAACCCGAAAAGCTCTTCCATGACTGGTGATTGGACATAATGATAACAAAGCTTAATTGTCACTCAGCTTCATTCCGACGGGGCAGTGAAAGCCCATGCCAGGTCTCAACAGTCTAGACAGAATGATGTAAAGTTCTGTTCGAAATGAGGAGTAAGTGAGTTGAGTTCTATGCCTTTTTTTAGCAATAGTGCAGCAACATCACGGCACACAAGAACTAGACTTAAGACATCCTACCCATGTGGGGAATCAAACCCGGGTGTTTGGTGTGACGAGCGAAGGAATTGACCACTAGGCTACACCCCACCCCATCTAAATGAGACTGCAAGTATTACCAAAACATTTGTATAAAACATGCATATAAACAAATATATTTGGTTAATACTCACTGACAGATATGGAACAATATGTTATCAGTCTGTTGACCGCCATTTTGTTTGATGTGCACATTTTGATAGCTTCAATATAAAATACATATTTACAGTGCTATTTCAGGCATTGCTACGGCTTGGTTCACAACAGATTGTCAGGTTATTACAGTATGAGAGACTTATCACAGACTCTCAGACATCTTAAGTCACATACTCAACATGGCCCGGGACATATCTTTTGTCAAAGATAAAACACAAATGGCAGTTATGTATCTAGAAAATGTTAAATGGTAAGAAAATATACCTTTAATTTATTATCTCTTACATATCTTTTCACAGTGGAATGAGAAAAGGTTTTCCGAGAAAAAAATATCAAATGTTTAGAGGAAAGAAAACTATTGTTAATTCTTCTTTTTCAACAAAAATATCAAATGCTTAGAGGAAAGAAAAACTATTGTTAACACTTCATTTTGAAAAAAAAGATCAAATGTTTAGCTGATAGAGTAACTATTAACTCTTCATTTTCAACATAGTATAGGGAACTTGACTAGAAGATTGTCAAGGTTTCATGAAGATTATCACTGACTTTCACAAAGTAGTAACGACACATTATCACTGGACGTCACAGCAAAGGTTGATATTTCATCACATGCTTATCAGGCCATAACAAAAACTGGCCGAAAAGTTACAAGCAGCTTTAAGCACCACAAAACTCTCTCCCAACAACCACAGCGGCTTTCCAACAACATTTCGCATCGAAGACAAGTCATGAATGGTTTCAAAGACTAAAAATAGAAACTGCATAGGCACAAGGCTTGAGCGGAATAAAAGTATTGAAATAAGAAGGCTTTCATCCTGTTGGTGATCCTGCTACCATGGCAACACACATGTCCAGTTTGTTGGCTTGCTCTGGTCCGATGCTGGCCTTGACTTCTGTGAATACAGCAGGGTAGGCTGAAGCCACTGTCTGGACAAACTGGACCAACAGCTGCTGGATGTCTGCAGATAAAAGGAGAAATTTAGTGACTGGGTGAATGTTGTTCCACACTATTCCAGCTATATCATATCAGTAAATAATTAAGTCGGGATCAGGTGAGGTGAGGTGAGGTGAAATTGGGTTTAACGTCGTGCTTGAGAATATTTCGCTCATATGACGACGTGCATGCGTGTGTATGTGTATGTGCGGCTGCTTGTACTAGCCCAGACTGAAGCTGGTTTTATAGTGCTAGCTCACTGAGATACCATGCCGCAGTGAAGCATGAATACCCTACTCAGACACATTATACTGACTCGAGCCGACCAGTCCTTGTTGTACCCATTAATGCCGAGCGCCAGGCAGGGACCAACAAGTACCATATTTTAACGTCTTTTGGTATGATGCGGTCGGGGATCGAACCAGCGACCTTCCGCTCTCCGGGCGGACGCTCTAACCACTACACCACGGAGGCGGTCTAGTCGGGATCAGGAAAACCAATGGCTGAAAGCATGAGTATCATTTTTTAATGTCACACTCCGCCAATTTCTAGCCACAGAGTAGTGACTGTGTAAGTGTGTTTACGCCGCTTTTATCAATATCATGGCAGGGGATACCAGAAATTGGCTTCACACATTGTACCCATGTGGGGAATGGAATGGATATTCCAAAATAATGACATGCTTACCTTGTTTGATTGTGTCTGAACCAAGAAGGCTGGCTATCAACTTCAGTATTTGTGGAACCAGTTTTATTACCTGTTGAATAATCATCAAAGAAGGGACCATAAGCATAAAATGTAACAATGTGACAATTTTGCAGTTTGCATGTGGGTTCAAGAAAAATATCAGGTCTCAAAAATATCAATATTACAGAGAAAGAAAGTTGGTAAGTAATCTCACTAAAAGAAAAGACAGGATCCAACAGAACCTCCTACATTACAGCTATACAGATCCGGCACATATCACAGACTTGCAAGGTCTGCATCTGATGTATTTGTCTCCAGGTGTGTACGACAGATGAGGGTTTCCTTCCAAGAATCCTTTAATGATGGCAAGTGTCTGACCACTATTAAAACAATTGTTTTCCACTGATATGGCAATGTTCCCCACTGCTAAAGAATGGAATATTTGTAACACATTTACTACATTTTATTTTTTGGTTACATACAACATGCCTGAAATGACTGGAGTCTGCATAATCACCAAGTGTAGGCTGTCAACATACTTGAAGACATTGGGTGCAATGTTTTATGAGATATCGCGTTTACATAAGTTTGAAAAGTGGTCAAAGTGTCATAGCGAGCTTGAAGATAAGATCAAGGTCACCCAAATCAACTGGTATCTGCGTAATCCCCAAATGTAGACTGTCACCAAAATTGAAGACATTGGGTACAACAGTTCATGAGATATCGCGTTAACAAGAATCGGGACGTACAGACACGCTGAATACAGAGTCCCCCGTTCAGCATTGCGGCCCGGGGACAAACAAAAACAAAAACTGTGAACAGGGCTCACTATACTCCTAACAGTGACTCCCAGCTTTAGCTGCACAATAATTAATATTGATTATTCTTTATCTAAATACAAGATCTGTATCCAGCTTCCACAGCACTCTACCAATAAACAAAGAAGCCATTAAGCAAATCCACTAAATGATTGCAAAAAGTTACTGGCAAACAAATTATTTGTGGGACTCAAGAGATGTAATATGTAATAATTCTTGATAATTTAAAATATCAAAACAAAACTCTGCACTGCACCTCTATTATAGACAAGAAGACAAAGTCATCAATATCACCCACAAGTTACAGGATTATGTCTACGAAGTTAAGAACAAAAATTTAGGTGTGTATATAGAAAGTGGAAGGAGAGTATTGAAAGGTTCTGCTCCAGAAAGAGCACTATCACCAATTTCAGTCTATGTCAAACTAATTGCCATGGAAATGCCAAAATACATTTTAAAACCAAAACTCAAAGGCACAGTAAACTCTGACCACTATGTGCCAACCTGGTTTTAGAGTTATAGATTTCTATTCTAAGGAACTTGTTGCCATGATCGCCAAAAAATGTTTTGATTCAAATTCCAAAATACCAAGGAACCAGTACACCACCAGATCTGTAGTTTCAAGTTTGGTGAAGAAATTGCTTTTTCAAATGTTTTAAAGACAAATTGCACGGACCAGTACACCACCAGATCTACGCATAAGAAATTTTAATTCATTGGACGGAAAAGCATGCGCATGGACGGAGACCATTTTAATACCCCCCCCAAAACGCGTCTGGGGATAATATGGACGGTGATCCCCAAATTTGAAAATAATCCAACTAATAGTTTCAAGTTATTGTTTGAAGAAAAAAAATTCCCAAACAGTACAAGATTTTCATCCTTATCTCCAAAATTCATTTAAAAAATATATATTATCATTTGATATTTTGTTGCAAGTACTCGAAAGTATATCATCATATGCCAAAAAAGTTGACACAAATACAATATACTTATATCTCATACACAAGTATTTCACAACAAAAACAGACAGTTTGGGGTCAAAATGACATCTTGCCATGGGTGAACTACAAGCAATTTTCAGTGAGACTATTTGCTGGAAGGTTCCATATCAAAATATGATCCGTTTTCATTTAAGATGTGAAAACTGCAGCATCACTAAATTGAAATGAAAACATTTACAACAGACATGCTGAAAAGCAGCAAGTTTGATTGTTTGTTGTTGATTGTGCACTCAGCATTACTCCAGCAATACGGTCTGTAAACAATCAAGTCTGTACCAGATAATCCCCAGCATTGATACGTGATACAGTGACATGTGTCAACCAAGTCAGCGTGTCTGACCACTTGATCCTGTTAGTCGCATCAAACGACAAGCATGTGTTGCTGAAGATCAGTTCTAACCCAGATCTTCATGGGTAAAGCATCAAGTGAGAAACAGGAGTGAGTACTCACATGTTCACTGCCCTGACTGTAGAGCTGCAGGAGACAGGTGAAGATGGTGGTCCACTCCTCCATGTCTTCCTTGAGGGGCAGACACTGCACGATGACCGGCACCACCTGGTGGACACACAAACAACATCAGGAACTTGTAGGCTAACTAATCACATGTCAATAGGCAGCACGAATCAGGGCCCCGTTCCACAAAGCGATAGTAGAGCATTGGTGAGATGGAACGATCTTTCAGACACACAGACAACATCAGGGCCTTGTAGGCTAACTAATCACATGTCAATAGGCAGCACGAATCAGGGCAATCCCGACACACAGACAACATCAGGGCCCACGAATCAGGGCCCGTTCCACAAAGCGATAAGAGCATTGGTGGGATGGAATCAGATCTTTCAGAGCATTGGTCAGGATAGGGTCAATAGGCAACAAAGCGATATCATTTCAGACAATCTTTCACACACAGACAACATCAGGGAACTTGTAGGCTAACTAATCACATGTCAATAGGCAGCACGAATCAGGGCCCCGTTCCACAAAGCGATAGTAGAGCATTGGTGAGATGGAACAATCTTTCAGACACACAGACAACATCAGGGCCTTGTAGGCTAACTAATCACATGTCAATAGGCAGCACGAATCAGGGCCCCGTTCCACAAAGCGATAGTAGAGCATTGGTGAGATGGAACAATCTTTCAGACACACAGACAACATCAGGAACTTGTAGGCTAACTAATCACATGTCAATAGGCAGCACGAATCAGGGCCCCGTTCCACAAAGAGATAGTAGAGCATTGGTGAGATGGAACGATCTTTCAGACACACAGACAACATCAGGAACTTGTAGGCTAACTAATCACATGTCAATAGGCAGACAATCATCCACAAAGATAGTAGAGCATTGGTGAGATGGAACAATCTTTCAGACACACAGACAACATCAGGGCCTTGTAGGCTAACTAATCACATGTCAATAGGCAGCACGAATCAGGGCCCCGTTCCACAAAGAGATAGTAGAGCATTGGTGAGATGGAACAATCTTTCAGACACACAGACAACATCAGGGCCTTGTAGGCTAACTAATCACATGTCAATAGGCAGCACGAATCAGGGCCCCGTTCCACAAAGCGATAGTAGAGCATTGGTGGGATGGATGGAACAGACAACATTCAGACACACAGACAACATCAGGGCCTTGTAGGCTAACTAATCACATGTCAATAGGAGCAGCACACAGACAACATCAGGGCCTTGTTCTAACACAAAGCAGCACGAATCAGGGATAGTAGAGCATTGGTGGGATGGAACAATCTTTCAGACACACAGACAACATCAGGGCCTTGTAGGCTAACTAATCACATGTCAATAGGCAGCACGAATCAGGGCCCCGTTCTACAAAGAGATAGTAGAGCATTGGTGAGATGGAACGATCTTTCAGACACACAGACAACATCAGGAACTTGTAGGCTAACTAATCACATGTCAATAGGCAGCACGAATCAGGGCCCCGTTCCACAAAGAGATAGTAGAGCATTGGTGAGATGGAACAATCTTTCAGACACACAGACAACATCAGGAACTTGTAGGCTAACTAATCACATGTCAATAGGCAGCACGAATCAGGGCCCCGTTCCACAAAGAGATAGTAGAGCATTGGTGAGATGGAACAATCTTTCAGACACACAGACAACATCAGGAACTTGTAGGCTAACTCATTATAGGTGAACAGGCAGACCGCTTCAAAGTTGTTAATACTAAAACAGCAGCCTGTCACTGAGCCAAAACCAGCTCATAACAGAATGTCACAAAATCACACAAGTTTCATGGAGCAATAAATCATAATACACCTATACTATCACAAATGATTTGGGTAATCCACCCAATCCTGCCAGACAGCTTCAAACGAAAAAGTTTTCACCAGCACAATTTATATATAGTCATTTCCTGAAATTGATGAAACAGATAAACAAAACTTTCTACCCAAACAACTGGATCTAATTAATTCTCTTATTCTCAACGGCTTCATTGTTGTACTGACATGTTCAAGGGGAACCTGATCCTGGTTGGCCATTATGAGGCGGCAGCTGGCAGCAGCGATGTTGTCTATGACGCGGCCGTTAGTCTCCTTGTTTAGGATGTCAAACAACATCTTCAAGATATCCTTGTACAGGCTGGGAAGGGGTCAAGGTTATGTGTCAAGGTTATGTGTCAAGGTGATTGCCTGCTGGAGCTGAGACCAATGTTGGTTTGCTTTAGTTTACACTAGTGTTGGGAATTGGTTAAAATCTCATAATTGATGATTGGTTCATTACTACCGATCAATCATCGAAAATAATTGGTTAGCATCATTTATGAAATTTGTTATTGCACATTAAAATAAGGGGGAAAATATGTAGTTCTTCTGGCAAAATTTCACATCTTTAAAGGATGACTAGTATGTTAGGAACATAAATTTCTTGGAATCTTTAAGATAAATTCAATCATGACTTGAAACGAGCTTGTAGTGCTTACAAATGTAACAGACAAAACAAACCATGTGAAAAATATTGTTAATGAAAACAAGTGTTCCAGAATTGTTTGTGTTCTGACTCTGAACCGACCAGTCCTTGTTGTACCAATTAATGCCGAGCGCCAGGCAGTGACCAACAAGTACCATATTTTAACGTCTTTTGGTATGACGCGGTTGGGGATCGAACCCGCGACCTTCCGCTCTCCGGGCGGACGCTCTAACCACTACACCACGGAGGTGGTCTTTGGGGTCAGTTTTGGGTCAGGTGACATAAAGAGACTGATTAATTACAATAGTGACAAAGAACACTGACATTTTATACAGATTAACCATTGAACGCTGAAAGAATCATGTGTTCTTCTACTTATTACGAGAAGTACATTTCAGATGAAATATTCACTCAGTTCCAAATATGAACATCAAGGATACACTTGCATCTTCTCTCCTCCATACATGGCAAGCACGCCCAGGGCGTACACTGCGTTGCTGCGGACTTCATCATCTTCTTCCCTTATCATCCTCACAAACACCGGATACAATGTCTCTACAAATGCTACAGAGGTAGGACCACAGGCTTCGATTGTTTCGGCAAGAGTGCCTACTGCAAAAGACTTTTCTGACGTGGAGCTTGTCTCTTTCTGTAATGAATTAACATGTGATTGAGGATATATCTGAAGAAAGCAATTCAAAGGCTTCACATCCCCTGATGTTAAATAAAGGCTTACATAGTATTGTTCTGATCAAGAATACATTTATGTGAACAGGATTGTCTCAAATAGTTTCAAAAGATGATCTCCTCTGTATCAAAGCATGTGACCCAATTTACAGACAGGGAGGCCTCTTTGAAATGCGGATTTTCAATTTCTATGATAAGACCCAGCCCAAAAATCGGTTTCCAACTCAGTCATTTCCAAATCATGATCAAACCCTGTGATCTCTGCGTCAAAGTGAGTTTCTGCGTCAAAGCCAGTCTCCACTACATCAAACCCTGTGATCACTACATTAAACCACCCCAGCCCCTGTATATCACATCCCGCGAAATACCCTGTATCCATGATCTCAAATACTTTCATGTCATACCCTCTGATATTCTATAGAAGCAAACCCACTGATCCCCCTCTTTCAGCCACCTGATCTGATCTATTTCGAACCACTGATCTCAATATCAAATCCTCTGATCTGCCTTATATCAATCCCAAGGTCTATATCAAACTCCCTGATCTCCTCTATATGAACCCCCTTTGATTTCCCCTTCAAGCCCAACCTCCCCACATACCAGTCTCTTGAGGAGGTCAGTGAGGAAGCTGCTGAAGAAAGGGAGGAACTGTTGACCTCCCAGGAGCCTCGCCATCACCGGCAACACATCCCCCGCAGACTCAATCAACATCCCGTCATACTCCGCCTGGGCTTCGTCATCATCTTCATCCTCCTGATCCTGACATGCCAGCTGGAGTCAAGGGCAGGAGAAGGTCAAGGTCACAGATCACTCAAATCATCATAATAACATGACAAGATCATTGCACATTTATTTATGTTTGTTTGATGGAATATTCATGAGTATTTCAGTATCACAGCATTCAAGCTTAATGATTCCGGAAAGTACAAATTAACACAAGTGTAGACGTCTACCACCTTGATACAACTAATCAACAATGCTATAGTATTGAAAATCATTGGTTAAATTGGTGACTTTGATTAAAAAAAATATGCTCATGATACTTAAAGGACTAAGCTACCCTAAACCTTGGGCTACCAGCTAATCTCAGACTGATGATCAGGGGTTAAAAAATCCCATCGCCCGACGCCGGGACAAGTCAGTTTTCATTTCGGGCAATCAAATAATGGTATCTTACTTGTCCGTGGGCTACTAGATAATTTCCACTTATGGTTTCAAACCGCAAACAAACTTGGATTTAATTTCATATCTGCTCAAAATGTAGCTATTACATTTCGCAATGATAATAAAGTAGAGTTATCTTTCTTTGCTATTTATCACTTTTCAATAAATAGTCCAGTAAACATTAACATCAAATACCATGTTGATTTCTTCTTTCATAATTACATCATCATAATTATGTCATAAAATCAGGGCAAGTGGAAAATTAGTCAGGACAAGTTACTTTCTTAAAGTCACTTGCCGTGTGGCAAGTGGCTTTAATTGAACCCCTGGATGATCCTAACTTGAAAGACTGGAGTGTTTATGTTCTGATGTCCTACCTTATGTGTAAAGATCTCTTTCACTGTTGTGAGAATAGCATCAGCAGAGCCTGTCTCTCTCAGCACAGGCTCCCCGATCTTCTCCAGCATGTCGTGTAGAGCATCCACTGCCGCCATGACAGTGGTGCGATCCATGTCTGTCTTGACTACCTCCAGTAACTTCTGGACTACTGTCGGCATCATGGAGCTGAGTGCTGGGAGACACAGTGAGTGAGTGTAGTTTTATGCCTTAATCAGCATAGATATGATCAAGAGCTGCATTTTACAGGATGCACCTGTGCCTGTCTGAGAGTAGGAGTGACTGAGTGAGTTTTTGTTTAACACTGTTCCACCCGGCACAGTGAATGTCTCTTGACACACCAAGGATCAAGTAATACATGTGATATTTGGGATTACACTTTCTCAATAAGTACAGATTATAGAACTTTTGAAGGGTTGAGTCCTAACTGGGATTTGAACCCACATGCTCAGATTGAGGCATCGCCAGCACATCTAACCTACACAGAGATGGAAATCAGACACAAGGTAGTCTAGTTACACTGAGAAAGTGTAATCCCAGATATAACCTGCTACATTTGTTTTTTTAATTATTTTTTATATTTAAATATAATTTTATTGTTTTTAAAGATGTTTTACAGTCTATTCCGAAAACTCAACAAAGGACATTCAGGTTACAATACAATACAAGCATATGATGTACAAATCATGTGAACAGTTCATGACATGAAGACCAGAACTTATGAAAGGCGCTGAAATTACACGCCATTAAAGAAGAGCACTTTGTTATCATATAATAATGTCTAATTTCATTCTGGAAAACATGGAAAGGTGGCACACTGTTTTTTAATCTGCTTCCAAAAATTAGGTTTTTTAAGATAATAATATTAACCTGCTGCATTTGAACACTTTCTGAATGGCATTGTGTATTCAGACCAAGGAACATAACTGGAACAAATTTCAAGACTAACTGAACCCAGATGCCACAGTGAAATCTGCACAGCAACAAACAGCACCTCAGTCTGAGATAGCAGACACACGCTGAAGCATTAGGAACATCTGGGATAACTGTGGTCAAATATATGTAGCTTACTCAAAATCATATTTGACAGTGCTTGTCACAAGGTCCTGCATCGAAAGCATTAGGTTCCCAACGTCAAAATATTTAGTCCAAAATGATTATTTACACTATTCAGTTTTCAACAAATACATAGTCACGATATGGCTGAAATATTGCTGATGTGACGTAAAATCTTAACTCACTCACTCACTAAACAAGTACATTATTAAACACATTTGGAGATTTCCATTAAGCTCACCTGCTTGTGTCTCGGCTGACTGTGTCTCGGTGAAGACCTGGAAGACACACAGACAGAACTGGGACAGGGAGGAGATGGCTCCTTTCTTTACCCCCGGGGCGGGGAACTCCATCAGACTCACAACCTCTGTGTAGCTGGTCTCCAGGTAAGGCAGGAACACAGTTCTGTAGTGGAACAGACAGTCATGTAGCAGAATGTGAGACAATTATTACCACAACTTTGGAACATGTGGCAGGACATAGGAATATGTAGCGGAACATTGTGACATGTAGCAGAACATAGGGACATGGAGCAGAACATTGGGACATGTAGCAGAACATTGTGACATGTAGCAGAACATTGGGACATGGAACAGAACATAGGGACATGGAGCAGAACATTGGGACATGTAACAGAACATTGTGACATGGAACAGAACATTGGGACATGGAACAGAACATTGTGACATGGAGCAGAACATTGGGACATGGAACAGAACATTGTGACATGGAGCAGAACATTGGGACATGGAGCAGAACATAGGGACATGGAGCAGAACATTGTGACATGTAGCAGAACATGGAGCAGAACATGGGACATGGAGCAGAACATAGGGACATGGAGCAGAACATAGGGACATGGAGCAGAACATTGGGACATGGAGCAGAACATAGGGACATGGAGCAGAACATTGGGACATAGGGACAGCAGAACATGGACACAGAACATTGGGACATGGAGCAGAACATAGGGACATGGAGCAGAACATAGGGACATGGACAGGCAGAACATTGGGACATGTAACAGAACACTGTGACATGGAACAGAACATTGGGACATGGAACAGAACATTGTGACATGGACATGGAGCAGAACATTGGGACATGGAACAGAACATTGGAGCAGAACATAGGGACATGGAGCAGAACATAGGGACATGGAGCAGAACATTGGGACATGGAGCAGAACATAGGGACATGGAGCAGAACATTGGGACATGGAGCAGAACATAGGGACATGGAGCAGAACATTGGGACATGGAACAGAACATTGGGACATGGAGCAGAACATTGGGACATGGAGCAGAACATAGGGACATGGAGCAGAACATTGGGACATGGAGCAGAACATTGGGACATGTAGCAGAACATAGGGATGCTGTAAATATCTCATGACAAAATATTAATTGAGGGAACAATACTTGTAACATTGGAATTTTAGGCTCAAAATATATAAAGTACACTATAATATTAATTGTTGGAATCTGTTTAACCAAGGATACAAACAAGGAGGGAGCATCTCAATACTGACCCACAGTTGACGGCCAGCTCCCCGAGGGATGTGCAAGCGTCTTCCTTCTCGTCCAGGTAGGAGTTCTCCACACTGATGCTGGGGACACAATGTGTCACAATCATACTCAACGTGTAACTTGGTTTATACTTCAGTCAGCAGTATTTAACATCATGTCATGGATGACATCAGTGACTGAGAGCATCCACAACATTCTGTTTGCTTATTGTTTCATGCTTATTCAGCTATACTCCTGCTATATTGTGGCAGATTGTACATACAGTCCAATCTGGACCAGGCAAACAAGGAACTGGAAACATATATTTTGCTATATTAATGATAAATTGATAATAGACATTTCTGAAAAAAACATTGGGCGTTGGTATTAATCATAATACATACAGATTTAATAGTCAAGCCGCGTTAGTCTGGACCCCGATAATCCGATTCACGTGATATCCGAACGGTAGCTAGCTGTAACCAATCTTGTTTACTATGAAAACTGTTGATTCATTAATCCGGTGCTTCACTCTCCGAATCCGGATGCTAATTAGCGGTAACGGATTAGCTAATTTACACTTGGTTTAGCTTCATTAATCTGGCGGTACATCAAAAAGGTTCGGATAATCCCCTTACCTCACGAGCACCATTCATTAGCACTGATCTTCATTTGTAAACTTCAATTGTAATTGGTAAGTGAGGTGAGGTAACTCTACTGTGGTGGTGTACATAATGCTTTGTTTCAATAGTCCGTACGTTTCACTATCTGAACGGTTTTTATGGAAAACGAAGTGTTCGGATGAACGCGGCCTGACTGTATACTACACTATGGCAGACAGATTTCAATGTAGAGAGAATTCAGTGTATACTTCAGATTTGACATTCCAGTGTATTATGAAGACTCCTGGTATCAAATGGCCAAAAGGAACCTCATGGGTATTTGTGGTAGCATTTAGAGATATTCATGGCTGCTTGTACCCTAATGCATGTTTTACAGATCATATCCCACTCAACCTACCCTTCAATTTTGTTGTTGTCATCATCCTCTTCATCGTCATCTCCTATATCTTCTTCATCCTGGAAATCACCATCATTGAATATGGCCACTTGCTCTGCTTCCTCTTTGAAGTGAGGCTGTAATAGATTGTGATTGGTCAGTAAGGGGCTGTAAAAGATTGTGATTGGTCAGAAAGAGGCTGTAATAGATTGTGATTGGTCAGTAAGGGGCTGTAAAAGATTGTGATTGATCAGAAAGAGGCTGTAATAGATTGTGATTGGTCAGTAAGGGGCTGTAAGAGATTGTGATTGGTCAGAAAGAGGCTGTAATAGATTGTGATTGGTCAGTAAGGGACTGTAAAAGATTGTGATTGGTCAGAAAGAGGCTGTAAAAGATTAGGATTGGTCAGAAAGAGGCTGTAAGAGATTGTGATTGGTCAGAAAGAGGCTGTAATAGATTGTGATTGGTCAGTAAGGGGCTGTAAAAGATTGTGATTGGTCAGAAAGAGGCTGTAAAAGATTAGGATTGGTCAGAAAGAGGCTGTAAGAGATTGTGATTGGTCAGAAAGAGGCTGTAAGAGATTGTGATTGGTCAGTAAGGGGCTGTAAAAGATTGTGATTGGTCAGAAAGAGGCTGTAAAAGATTGTGATTGGTCAGAAAGAGGCTGTAAAAGATTAGGATTGGTCAGAAAGAGGCTGTAAAAGATTGTGATTGGTCAGAAAGAGGCTGTAAAAGATTAGGATTGGTCAGAAAGAGGCTGTAAAAGATTGTGATTGGTCAGAAAGAGGCTGTAAAAGATTAGGATTGGTCAGAAAGAGGCTGTAAAAGATTAGGATTGGTCAGAAAGAGGCTGTTAGAGATTGATTGGTCAGAAAGAGGCTGTATATGACTGTCATTGATCAGAAAGAAGCAGTAAATGATCACTATTGTTCAGAAAGATTAAAAAAGAGGATTGGTCAGAAAGAGGCTGTTAGAGATTGATTGGTCAGAAAGAGGCTGTATATGACTGTCATTGATCAGAAAGAGGCTGTAAATGATCACTATTGTTCAGAAAGAGGATGTAAATGATTGTGATTGGTCAGAAAGAGGATGTAAATGATTGTGATTGGTCAGAAAGAGGCTGTATATGACTGTCATTGATCAGAAAAAGGCTGTAAATGATCACTATTGTTCAGAAAGAGGATGTAAATGATTGTGATTGGTCAGAAAGAGGCTGTATATGACTGTCATTGATCAGAAAGAGGCTGTAAATGACTGTCATTGATCAGAAAGAGGCTGTAAATGATCACTATTGTTCAGAAAGAGGATGTAAATGATTGTGATTGGTCAGAAAGAGGATGTAAATGATTGTGATTGGTCAGAAAGAGGCTGTAAATGATCACTATTGTTCAGAAAGAGGATGTAAATGATTGTGATTGGTCAGAAAGAGGCTGTATATGACTGTCATTGATCAGAAAGAGGCTGTAAATGATCACTTTTGTTCAGAAAGAGGCGGTAAAAGATTAGGATTGGTCAGAAAGAGGCTGTAAAAGATTAGGATTGGTCAGAAAGAGGCTGTTAGAGATTGATTGGTCAGAAAGAGGCTGTATATGACTGTCATTGATCAGAAAGAGGCTGTAAATGATCACTATTGTTCAGAAAGAGGATGTAAATGATTGTGATTGGTCAGAAAGAGGATGTAAATGATTGTGATTGGTCAGAAAGAGGATGTAAATGATTGTGATTGGTCAGAAAGAGGATGTAAATGATTGTGATTGGTCAGAAAGAGGATGTAAATGATTGTGATTGGTCTGAAAGGGGTCTGAAAGATTTTAACTGCTCAGAATATGACTGTACAAGTCTGAAATTGTCAGAACGAAATCCAATGGATAATGATTGGGCAGAATTAAGCTGTGATAGATTGTTAATGATCAGAATAAGGCTGTAATAAAGTGTGGTTTATTGGTCAGAACTCTCATGGATTATGAATGGACTGATTGTGACTGACTGGAAGAAGCCAATATGTATGATAGGTGACTGGAGGTGTACAAGGATTTCTGGTGGTGTATGAGTGGCAATCTGTGATTAACTCACCGTAACACCCTCATTGGACTTGACAGACAGCAGCATGTAGTGTACTATTTTGGCCAGGTAGGTCCCCATCTCCCCTTTCATCAGGTTTGACACAGCAGCAAACAGGCTGTACCTGTAGATACAAACACAATCAAACAGGCTGTACCTGGAGATACAAACACAGTCAAACAAGCTGTACCTGGAGATACAAACACAATCAAACAAGCTGTACCTGGAGATACAAACACAGTCAAACAAGCTGTACCTGGAGATACAAACACAGTCAAACAAGCTGTACTTGGAGATACAAACACAGTCAAACAAGCTGTACCTGAAGATACAAACACAGTCAAACAAGCTGTACCTGGAGATACAATCACAGTCAAACAAGCTGTACCTGGAGATACAAACACAGTCAAACAAGCTGTACCTGGAGATACAAACACAGTCAAACAAGCTGTACCTGGAGATACAATCACAGTCAAACAAGCTGTACCTGGAGATACAATCACAGTCAAACAAGCTGTACTTGGAGATACAAACACAGTCAAACAAGCTGTACCTGGAGATACAAACACAGTCAAACAAGCTGTACCTGGAGATACAATCACAGTCAAACAAGCTGTACTTGGAGATACAATCACAGTCAAACAAGCTGTACTTGGAGATACAAACACAGTCAAACAAGCTGTACCTGGAGATACAATCACAGTCAAACAAGCTGTACCTGGAGATACAAACACAGTCAAACAAGCTGTACCTGGAGATACAATCACAGTCAAACAAGCTGTACCTGGAGATACAATCACAGTCAAACAAGCTGTACTTGGAGATACAAACACAGTCAAACAAGCTGTACCTGGAGATACAATCACAGTCAAACAAGCTGTACCTGGAGATACAATCACAGTCAAACAAGCTGTACTTGGAGATACAAACACAGTCAAACAAGCTGTACCTGGAGATACAATCACAGTCAAACAAGCTGTACTTGGAGATACAATCACAATCAAACGAGCTGTACCTGGAGATACAAACACAGTCAAACAAGCTGTACTTGGAGATACAATCACAGTCAAACAAGCTGTACCTGAAGATACAAACACAGTCAAACAAGCTGTACCTGGAGATACAATCACAGTCAAACAAGCTGTACCTGGAGATACAAACACAGTCAAACAAGCTGTACCTGGAGATACAAACACAGTCAAACAAGCTGTACCTGAAGATACAAACACAGTCAAACAAGCTGTACCTGGAGATACAAACACAGTCAAACAAGCTGTACCTGGAGATACAAACACAGTCAAACAGGCTGTACCTGGAGATACAAACACAGTCAAACAAGCTGTACCTGGAGATACAAACACAGTCAAACAAGCTGTATCTGGAGATACAAACACAGTCAAACAAGCTGTACCTGGAGATACAAACACAGTCAAACAAGCTGTACTTGGAGATACAATCACAGTCAAACAAGCTGTACCTGAAGATACAAACACAGTCAAACAAGCTGTACCTGGAGATACAATCACAGTCAAACAAGCTGTACCTGGAGATACAAACACAGTCAAACAAGCTGCACCTGGAGATACAAACAGAGTCAAACAAGCTGTACCTGGAGATACAAACACAGTCAAACAGGCTGTACCTGGAGATACAAACACAGTCAAACAAGCTGTACCTGAAGATACAAACACAGTCAAACAAGCTGTACCTGGAGATACAATCACAGTCAAACAAGCTGTACTTGGAGATACAATCACAGTCAAACAAGCTGTACTTGGAGATACAAACACAGTCAAACAAGCTGTACCTGGAGATACAAACACAGTCAAACAAGCTGTACCTGAAGATACAAACACAGTCAAACAAGCTGTACCTGGAGATACAATCACAGTCAAACAAGCTGTACCTGGAGATACAATCACAGTCAAACAAGCTGTACCTGGAGATACAAACACAATCAAACAAGCTGTACCTGGAGATACAATCACAGTCAAACAAGCTGTACCTGGAGATACAATCACAGTCAAACAAGCTGTACCTGGAGATACAAACACAGTCAAACAAGCTGTACTTGGAGATACAATCACTGTCAAACAAGCTGTACTTGGAGATACAAACACAATCAAACAAGCTGTACCTGGAGATACAATCACAGTCAAACAAGCTGTACCTGAAGATACAATCACAGTCAAACAAGCTGTACTTGGAGATACAATCACAGTCAAACAAGCTGTACCTGGAGATACAATCACAGTCAAACAAGCTGTACCTGGAGATACAAACACAATCAAACAAGCTGTACCTGGAGATACAATCACAGTCAAACAAGCTGTACTTGGAGATACAATCACAGTCAAACAAGCTGTACTTGGAGATACAATCACAGTCAAACAAGCTGTACCTGGAGATACAAACACAGTCAAACAAGCTGTACCTGGAGATACAATCACAGTCAAACAAGCTGTACTTGGAGATACAAACACAATCAAACAAGCTGTACCTGGAGATACAATCACAGTCAAACAAGCTGTACCTGGAGATACAAACAAAGTCAAACAAGCTGTACTTGGAGATACAATCACAGTCAAACAAGCTGTACCTGAAGATACAAACACAGTCAAACAAGCTGTACCTGGAGATACAATCACAGTCAAACAAGCTGTACCTGGAGATACAATCACAGTCAAACAAGCTGTACTTGGAGATACAATCACAGTCAAACAAGCTGTACCTGGAGATACAAACACAGTCAAACAGCCTGTACCTGGAGATACAAACACAGTCAAACAAGCTGTACTTGGAGATACAATCACAGTCAAACAAGCTGTACCTGGAGATACAAACACAATCAAACAAGCTGTACTTGGAGATACAAACACAGTCAAACAAGCTGTACCTGGAGATACAAACACAGTCAAACAAGCTGTACTTGGAGATACAATCACAGTCAAACAAGCTGTACCTGGAGATACAATCACAGTCAAACAAGCTGTACCTGGAGATACAAACACAGTCAAACAAGCTGTACTTGGAGATACAAACACAATCAAACAAGCTGTACCTGGAGATACAAACACAGTCAAACAAGCTGTACTTGGAGATACAAACACAATCAAACAAGCTGTACTTGGAGATACAAACAGTCAAACAAGCTGTACTTGGAGATACAAACACAGTCAAACAAGCTGTACTTGGAGATACAAACACAGTCAAACAAGCTGTACCTGGAGATACAAACACAGTCAAACAAGCTGTACCTGGAGATACAATCATAGTCAAACAAGCTGTACTTGGAGATACAATCACAGTCAAACAAGCTGTACTTGGAGATACAATCACAGTCAAACAAGCTGTACCTGGAGATACAAACACAATCAAACAAGCTGTACCTGGAGATACAAACACAGTCAAACAAGCTGTACCTGGAGATACAAACACAGTCAAACAAGCTGTACCTGGAGATACAAACACAGTCAAACAAGCTGTACTTGGAGATACAAACACAGTCAAACAAGCTGTACTTGGAGATACAATCACAGTCAAACAAGCTGTACTTGGAGATACAAACACAGTCAAACAAGCTGTACTTGGAGATACAATCACAGTCAAACAAGCTGTACCTGGAGATACAAACACAATCAAACAAGCTGTACCTGGAGATACAAACACAGTCAAACAAGCTGTACTTGGAGATACAAACACAGTCAAACAAGCTGTACTTGGAGATACAAACACAGTCAAACAAGCTGTACCTGGAGATACAAACAGTCAAACAAGCTGTACTTGGAGATACAAACACAGTCAAACAAGCTGTACTTGGAGATACAAACACAATCAAACAAGCTGTACCTGGAGATACAAACACAATCAAACAAGCTGTACCTGGAGATACAAACACAGTCAAACAAGCTGTACCTGGAGATACAAACACAAGCAAACAAGCTGTACCTGGAGATACAAACACAATCAAACAAGCTGTACCTGGAGATACAAACAGTCAAACAAGCTGTACTTGGAGATACAAACACAGTCAAACAAGCTGTACTTGGAGATACAAACACAATCAAACAAGCTGTACCTGGAGATACAAACACAATCAAACAAGCTGTACCTGGAGATACAAACACAGTCAAACAAGCTGTACCTGGAGATACAATCACAGTCAAACAAGCTGTACCTGGAGATACAAACACAATCAAACAAGCTGTACCTGGAGATACAAACACAGTCAAACAAGCTGTACTTGGAGATACAAACACAGTCAAACAAGCTGTACTTGGAGATACAAACACAGTCAAACAAGCTGTACCTGGAGATACAAACAGTCAAACAAGCTGTACTTGGAGATACAAACACAGTCAAACAAGCTGTACTTGGAGATACAAACACAATCAAACAAGCTGTACCTGGAGATACAAACACAATCAAACAAGCTGTACCTGGAGATACAAACACAATCAAACAAGCTGTACCTGGAGATACAAACACAGTCAAACAAGCTGTACTTGGAGATACAAACACAGTCAAACAAGCTGTACCTGGAGATACAAACACAGTCAAACAAGCTGTACCTGGAGATACAATCACAGTCAAACAAGCTGTACCTGGAGATACAAACACAGTCAAACAGGCTGTACTTGGAGATACAAACACAGTCAAACAAGCTGTACCTGGAGATACAAACAGTCAAACAAGCTGTACTTGGAGATACAAACACAGTCAAACAAGCTGTACTTGGAGATACAAACACAATCAAACAAGCTGTACCTGGAGATACAAACACAATCAAACAAGCTGTACCTGGAGATACAAACACAGTCAAACAAGCTGTACTTGGAGATACAAACACAGTCAAACAAGCTGTACTTGGAGATACAAACACAGTCAAACAAGCTGTACCTGGAGATACAAACACAGTCAAACAAGCTGTACCTGGAGATACAAACACAGTCAAACAAGCTGTACCTGGAGATACAATCACAGTCAAACAAGCTGTACTTGGAGATACAAACACAGTCAAACAAGCTGTACCTGGAGATACAATCACAGTCAAACAAGCTGTACCTGGAGATACAATCACAGTCAAACAAGCTGTACCTGGAGATACAATCACAGTCAAACAAGCTGTACCTGGAGATACAATCACAGTCAAACAAGCTGTACCTGGAGATACAAACACAGTCAAACAAGCTGTACTTGGAGATACAATCACAGTCAAACAAGCTGTACCTGGAGATACAATCACAGTCAAACAAGCTGTACCTGGAGATACAAACACAGTCAAACAAGCTGTACCTGGAGATACAATCACAGTCAAACAAGCTGTACCTGGAGATACAAACACAGTCAAACAAGCTGTACTTGGAGATACAAACACAGTCAAACAAGCTGTACTTGGAGATACAATCACAGTCAAACAAGCTGTACTTGGAGATACAAACACAATCAAACAAGCTGTACCTGGAGATACAATCACAGTCAAACAAGCTGTACCTGGAGATACAATCACAGTCAAACAAGCTGTACCTGGAGATACAAACACAGTCAAACAAGCTGTACTTGGAGATACAAACACAGTCAAACAAGCTGTACCTGGAGATACAAACACAGTCAAACAAGCTGTACTTGGAGATACAAACACAGTCAAACAAGCTGTACCTGGAGATACAATCACAGTCAAACAAGCTGTACCTGGAGATACAATCACAGTCAAACAAGCTGTACCTGGAGATACAATCACAGTCAAACAAGCTGTACCTGGAGATACAATCACAGTCAAACAAGCTGTACCTGGAGATACAAACACAGTCAAACAAGCTGTACTTGGAGATACAAACACAGTCAAACAAGCTGTACTTGGAGATACAAACACAGTCAAACAAGCTGTACCTGGAGATACAAACACAATCAAACAAGCTGTACTTGGAGATACAAACACAGTCAAACAAGCTGTACTTGGAGATACAAACACAGTCAAACAAGCTGTACCTGGAGATACAAACACAGTCAAACAAGCTGTACCTGGAGATACAATCACAGTCAAACAAGCTGTACCTGGAGATACAAACACAGTCAAACAAGCTGTACCTGGAGATACAAACACAGTCAAACAAGCTGTACCTGGAGATACAATCACAGTCAAACAAGCTGTACCTGGAGATACAATCACAGTCAAACAAGCTGTACTTGGAGATACAATCACAGTCAAACAGGCTGTACCTGGAGATACAAACACAGTCAAACAAGCTGTACCTGGAGATACAAACACAGTCAAACAAGCTGTACTTGGAGATACAAACACAGTCAAACAAGCTGTACCTGGAGATACAAACACAGTCAAACAAGCTGTACCTGGAGATACAAACACAATCAAACAAGCTGTACTTGGAGATACAAACACAGTCAAACAGGCTGTACCTGTCAAACAAGCTGTACCTGGAGATACAATCACAGTCAAACAAGCTGTACCTGGAGATACAAACACAGTCAAACAAGCTGTACCTGGAGATACAATCACAGTCAAACAAGCTGTACTTGGAGATACAATCACAGTCAAACAAGCTGTACCTGGAGATACAAACACAGTCAAACAAGCTGTACCTGGAGATACAAACACAGTCAAACAAGCTGTACCTGGAGATACAAACACAATCAAACAAGCTGTACCTGGAGATACAAACACAGTCAAACAAGCTGTACCTGGAGATACAATCACAGTCAAACAAGCTGTACTTGGAGATACAATCACAGTCAAACAAGCTGTACCTGGAGATACAAACACAGTCAAACAAGCTGTACCTGGAGATACAAACACAGTCAAACAAGCTGTACTTGGAGATACAAACACAGTCAAACAAGCTGTACCTGGAGATACAAACACAGTCAAACAAGCTGTACCTGGAGATACAAACACAATCAAACAAGCTGTACCTGGAGATACAAACACAGTCAAACAAGCTGTACCTGGAGATACGAACAGAGTCAAACAAGCTGTACCTGGATGGTACGAACAGTCAAACAGGCTGTAGCTGGAGGTACAAACACAATCAAACAGACTCTACCTTGAGAAAAAAACAGTCAAACAAGCTGAGCATAGACACAAAAACACACTTTTTCTTCTGTGGCACTAAATGAATCTACTTATACATAACGTCTAACATCTGGATCATCAGCGTTCTCCAGCAGGTTAATTCCGAACTGTATACACTCTTTGCAGAGTGGCAGGAATGTCTCATCACCCACACTCCTTGCGAGCACTCCTAGGGTATCTGAGAGGAAAAACACATAGAATGAGCCTCGCCAGCAAGTAGAATTCCTCACTTAGCCAGTGTATCATTCCTCAAATTGTTTTAGGATAAATACACCCAACACATTCATGAAGACAGCATCGCTTAGAAACTTAACCAAACCTGCAGAGGTTTTCAATTCTTTGAAGAGAGTCGTCCTTGGGGTACATATTATGCATTTTCCGTGCTGAAAATGTCCTGTGACAGTCGTATCAATGTTTTTTAATAAAAATATTGTACAATAAATAAACTCTTTTTATCTATTATACGGCCCCCACCTCGTGGAGTTACCTCCCGTTGCGCATGCGCACCAACTGGGTAAGCATCTAGGCCCGTATCATCATTCCTTCTGCTGAATAAATCAGTGAACAGAATTGCCGGAAGGGGGGAGGCCCTACCCCAAGGACAACTCTCTTCAAAGAGTTGAAAACCTCTTCAGGTTTGGTTAATTCTTTTTCATAGAGATCGTCCTTGGGGTACATATTATGCATAAACACAGACTCCCAAAGACCGGAGGCCAGGGAGGAGGGAATTCTGTCAAGGCACACACAAATAGCGATCGTTAAGAATAATGTAACATACGCCATAATCACTCACCTGTCACATGTCCCAGGTTGAGCTTCTGCGCGAGAGGCATTATGGGAGGGTAACCGACAGGGAGGAAATGTACTCATAGACAACCTTGCAGGTTAGCATAAGAGGACGCACATGGTGCGAATGTAAACAAACCCCACCCACCTTATGGTCGATTAGAGAGCACCGTAGGGGAAAAAAAAAACACTCACGACCAACCAGATCTCCGAAGAGGATTGAAAGGAGGTTATTCACCCAACAGCGGACATGTCAATAAAACACAATATTGAACAGCAGCATCAACAAAACCAAATAACCAAGACTCACTCGGTCAGGGTGGCAGGACACTGTCCACTGGAGAGAACAGAACGGCCAAAGCTCGCACGATTACGTGAATGTGTATCGAGCTGATAGTGCCGAATAAACGTGCTAGGCCGGCTCCAAATAGCGGCAGAGCAGATCTCTTCAATGGGGAATGCCGATGCAAAAGCTTTTGACGTGGCTACTGCCCTGACCGAGTGAGCCTTCAACCCCTCAGGGGGAGGCTTGCCCTTAGCCTGATACGCAGCACAAATGACCGAGACGAGCCAGCGAGACAAAGTCTGCTTGCTCGCCGGCACCCCAGCCTTCCCGCCACCGTAACAGCAGAACAGATGGGTACCCGTACGGATCCCCTGTGTTCGTTTGAGATAGACCTTACGGACATCCAACGGGTGAGTGCTCGTAGGAGAGGTCCCCGATGTTGAAGGCTGGGTAAGAGTAGGAAGTTCGATAGGAGCTGTCACATGGAAAGCGTGATCGACCTTCGGACGGTAAGTATCCGGTAGGCGAATACTGACACGATCAGTGTGAAACACAGTCAGCGCCGGGTCGGACGACATAGCATGTAAGTCGCCAACCCTACGCCCAGATGTTACCGCCACCAGAAATACAGCCTTCCATGTAAACAACTGAATGGAAATAGCCCATAGACGTGAGAACGTAGGACCGGACAGTCAATCGATTGACAAATCCCAAGGTGGGCTGGTTCACCTGACAGCAGGTCGAACCCGATCCGCGCCAGCTAAAAATTGCTCTATGAGAGGGTGCTGCCCCAGAAGAGCACCATCGACAGGGGTGTGAAAAGTGGAAATAGCGGTGGAGTAGCCACGAATGGTCGAAGCCGCCAGGCCTTCTTCCAAACGAGATTGCAAAAACTCCAATACTCGGACTAAATCCGCAGAAAAGGGATCTGCAATCCCCCTATCTGAACACCAGCGCGCATAGCGGGACCACCTATCCTCGCACTGAGCGTTTGTCCGAATCCCCTCAAAGCCAGAATTGTGTCTGCAACTGCTGCAGGAATTTCGCGTACTTCGAGGCTAGACCTGACAGAGGCCAAGCCACCCACTGAATCCGTGGATTGGGGTGTGGCGCGCCGTTCTGAGTGAGAATGTCCGGTCACAAAGGTAATAGAACAGGAGGCTGAGCCAGAAACCTGAGAATTACCGGAAACCAGCTCTGTGACGGCCAAAGAGGTGCCAGTAGCACAAGTAGCCGAGCTGGCTAGGTGGACAGCTGGGAGAGGACACGGGGAATGAGTGGTAACGGCGGAACGCTTCCAGAGCACTTTGCCCGTCCAATCCAGCAGGAAGCGTCGGCAGCCAGCGCCCTCGGATCCGGTATTCCGAGAGCAGAACACGGTATCTGATTCGTCCGCCAGGCGCCAAACAGATCCACCTGGAGCGACCCCATTACAACTGGGAGATAACTCCGAATATCTGCGGTCGAGCATCCACTCGTCTTGGGGCCAGGATCCGGCGAGAAGCGTCTGCTCGCGACGTTCTCCAACCCGGAGATAAACAGGGAGTACCTGGCAATCGCACTGGTCGCACCAGAGGAGAAAGTCCCATGTCTCGAAGAGGCGAGCCGGGACACCGTGCGCCTTGCTTCAGGATGTGCGACATGGCCGTCCGGTTGTCCAACTGAAGGCGAACCACCTGGCCCTGGACATGCTCTCGAGCGCTCAAAACCAACCGCACAGCTCTCAGTTCCAACACGCGTTGATGTGAAGGTGGGCTTGACTTCGGACCAGAGTCCGGACACCGACAGACTGCCCAGAACACCCCAGCCTGTGAGGGGCGCTCGGTCTGAACTGTAGAGCTGGCGTCCGGGATTTCAAAGGGGACCCCTTGGAGAGATTCCCGACATTGGTCCACCACTGAAGGTGAGGAGACAACCACCGGGGACTGTGAGACTCGGCTCCAGGTCCTCCAAGTGAGCCCACAGACTCGCCAAAGCTTGCTGTATAGGGCGCATCCTCAACCGCGCCCGCCACACTACAGAGATAGTCGCCGCCATATGGCCCAGTAGATGGAGCCAAGTCCGTGCTGGTGCCTGGGGCTGGGAGAGGAACGAAGACACATCTCCCGTACTCTGGTGACCCGGTCGGGCGACAAGGAAACAAGATCCTTGTGAGTTTGGAACCTCGCCCCGAGAAAAACCAAGTCCTGGGTGGGTAACAGGTCGGATTTCTTAAGGTTGATGATCCACCCCAGTCGAACCAGAATGTCTATCACCTTGTGAGTAGAATCTAGGTTCGCTGGCTGTGTTAGTGCTCCGAGCAACCAGTCGTCGAGGTAAGGGTAACAACGCCTTCCTTGCGATCGAGCGGGGGTAGCCGGCACTAACATGAGCTTGGTGAACACCCTGGGGGCAGTGGATATGCCGAAGGGGAGCACCGTGAATTGGTAATTCACCCCGTCGTAAGAGAACCGAAGGTACTGCTTGAACGATGGATGTATAGCCACATGTAGATACGCATCCTTTAGGTCGATTGACGTGAGCCAATCGCCGGGCTGAACAGAGGAGATCACCATGCGCAGTGTCTCCACCTTGAAGGATGGAACCTCTAGCATGTGATTCAACCCCTTGAGGTTGAGAATGGGACGGAACCAGCCGTCTTTCTTTGGAACGAGGAAGTACGTGGAATAAAATCCCGCCTGTTCCTCGCCCGGTGGTATGCGCTCTATAGCGGACTTGTCCAGCAAAGCCTGTATATCCGCCCGTACCTGACATGACGGCACCGGAGTGCGGCGTATGCCGGTGAAGTCTGGCGGACCTCGCTTCCACAGTGGTAAATGGCCGACACTGATGGTGGACAGCACCCAAGTGTTGCTTGTAGCCTTCTCCCACTCCGGCAGGAATAGAGAGAGGTGGCCTCCCACTGGGACGTTGGGTAAGAGTACGTGAGTGGTCCCGAGTAGCGGAGCTGACTGGGATGGACACACGTCTACAGCCTGTTGGGTTAACGGGAGGTCGGGGCAGACCTCCCGCGCCCGCGAAAAGGCTGGGAGCCAGCCGAAGAGGACTGCTCCTTGCCCTTACCCTTGGCGGGATGGCTCCTCCGCCTACCCCTGCCCAGCGGCCCAAGCCAGCCAGCAGACTCAGGTGTAGGCTGCACCCCGGAGGAGGAAGGTGGCGCCAAACGCCCTTGCCTGGCAGCCGGAGCTGCTCGGAGGAAGCCGAGCCTCCCCAGCAGAAGCGACCGAAGTGAAAACACGTTAGCCGACCACTGGCCACGAAGAACAAGGAATCGTCCCCAGCTGGTACCTCTTGACCCAAGCCAGGGGGATCCACCCGTCCTGCACCAAGGGCGGCAGAATCTGAGCAGCTTAGCGTCTGCGTGGGTTGCCTAGGGCAGACAGCCTCGCCTGGTAAAAGCGGAACTCAGTCGAATCCCGGCGGCTGGTAGGCACCGCTGACCTGGGGGAATATACTCAGCAATACGTCGGCGGAAGGCACCTTTGCTCCTCGACCTCCCCAATGTCCATGGACTCGGCCCGAGCCTGAGTCGAGGCTGGAGTCTCCCTTGAAGAGGACCCGAACCCGACTTCGGTGGGCCGCGCACCGAACAGACACAGAAGGGAAGGGAAGAAGCTTAGCGCCCGCTTCAGTACCCGACACCACGCTCGGGAACTCGGTCCGAGGCGCGGGAGGAAGACCAGGCAAAACTGGTTCCTCCGCTCTCATGGGGGCGGGGCCGGCGCAGGGACGGAACCCCAGGAGAATCCTCAACGGACCATGCGCCAACTCCGAGAGGGGCATGGGGCCAACCTCCCCTCGGGGCACCCGAGGCGCCCGGACCGAAGCCAGAGGCAGCGGATCAACAGAGCGCCTCCAGGCCAAGGATCGAGCCCGAGGCTCGGCGATCCCACCCCAGACTCTCCGTCCCCTGCTCGAAGAGTGGGCTGTGGAACTCCTGGCGGGAGACCTCCAACCCGACTTCGGGAACAAGGGACTTCACCGAGTCCATGTGCTGCTGGAATAATTGCGTGATTAGAGACATGTCAAAACCGCTAGGAGCAGTTGAAGGCAGCCTGACTGCCGCGATTTAGCCTTTTGCCTTTAGTTTTGGCTTTTTTAGCTTT